AGATGGCGGAAAAAGGTCTCGAAACGTCGGCCAATGAACATAGTCCCCACTGAAAATTTTACAGTCTATTGGAGGTACGCGGGATCCACTAGGCAGAGTCACCGGTGAGGGCGGTTCAGGAATCGGCTGAACGCCAGCTCTTTCAATCGTTTCGTTTAGTGTTGCATGGCTTCCATCATGTCTGTACTATTTCCTAAGGAAAGAACCTCAAAGCACGTCTCGTACACTTTCTCTACCTTGTCCCAAAGATCTTGTAACTGCTGAAGTCTGACCTTATTAGTGTAAACAGACGTAGGTGGGTCTGTTGGGGTATTGACCCTGGCTTCGAACTGTCAAGGAAGCTTTAGCTTCAGCGTCAGCCATTTTCGCAGTTGATCTCGTGACTTGAGGGACAAAACTGACTGTGACGCAGTTGTTCTCACGGGTTTTAAAGGGGTTAAGGAAAGACGGCTGATCCTTATGGATGGAGTTAGGTTTTTACTAGGTCCTGTCTTTTTGGTGGGCAGTGACGACCCGCTTTTGGCTTTGGCCTGGCTGGGTGTTCTGACTGATGGGACGGTTAGCTGAACTTTAGGTTCCTCACCTTCACCAATCGGCATAGCTACACTGTCGGGAAAAGAATAGGGACGTGGATGCTGTCGCTGTTTAATGCGTCTCGGCTTAACAATTTGGAAGCTGGTCAGAGAACCATACCACGGATCAATATAACACAAATATGTAAGTGTGTACGATATATAACTTGGATGGAATGTGAAATGGATGTATGTCTTGGAGAATACATGACTGCACCAGAAGGAATGGATGCTGAACGCTTGGAATCGGATCGCTGTTGGAGGATTTACTTTATTTTTGGATGAAATTTATTAAAGTTATTCGAAAGTTAATCGAATTTATTGCTAAGTCCTAAATGCGTCCTAACGGCCTATTATGCGATGCGTTGCAGTAGGGAATTCCCAGAACACCCTGTGTGACAGCACACACACCAATATGCAATGTAAATAAGAGAAGAACAACCACCCAATAATTAAAAAACCTACTGAAATATCAGCTAGATAATTATTGGGTTGTGTTTTTTATTCGGGATGTCGCGGAGAAAAGGAAACAAAAAAACGGTTGTCGGACAAGTATGCCAAGTAGGTGGTTCTGCAGCAATGTTCGTAAGCCGGGTTTGTTATTGTTTTGTGTGTTTTAGCACTAACCATATCACATATACATAGACGTCCTAAATGCAATGCAGAGTGAACGGCCTATTATGCGATGCGTTGCAGTACGGAATGCCCAGAACACCCTGTGTGACGGCACCAATATGCAATGTAAATAAGAGAATAACAACCACCCAATAATTAAAAAACCTACTGAAATATCAGCTAGATAATTATTGGGTTGTGTTTTTTATTCGGGATGTCGCGGAGAAAAGGAAACAAAAAAACGGTTGTCGGACAAGAATGCCAAGTAGGGGGTTCTGCAGCAAGGTTCGTAAGCCGGGTTTGTTATAGTTTTGTGTGTTTTAGCACTAACCATACAACATATACATAGACTGGTCATTTCATACAACGAAAATGGACACAAAAATATTTTCGCAGGAGGCCCCAGGGCTCTTAGCGGCAGGCCCCGGACACTTCGTGTGCCTTCGGGTTTTTTGCGCTCTCATTTTTATTCTCATTTTGATGCTCGCGCCCTCATTGCACGAGTTCGGTCGTTCAGTCGCAGAGACGCGCATTTAAAAGAAGGTTGCCCTGCGCTTGAATTGGTCTTTGTATGCACGCGTCCCTGCAGTTCCGAAATTCATCACTACAAAAATTCATCACTGTTTAATCAGCAGCGGACTGCGACGTCGGCAGAGCCAAAGGCAAAGTCGGCAGAGCCGAGTGCGACGCAGGCAGAGCCGAAACTCTCAGTCCCCGATCGTAGGCAACGCAGAAAATTGTCCATCTCCCTCTCTTACTCTGTCTCTCTCCCCATAAAATGAGCTGAGAGGTGGAGGACAATGTATTAAAATCAGATCGACCTTTATACACCCTTGAAAATAAATTAGCATAATTTTTGTATTGTAGTCGTTGATTCTTATTAATTATATTATTTTATGGAAATACTTTTTAAAAATAAAATTATTATGATAGTTTTGAAAGGTATTGATTCCTTTTTTAAGTGAATTTAAGTTATGTGATTATTTTTCATAGTCGGACATGCTTTTATATACCCTGCTTTGACGCGAAGCGAAACATGTAAAGACAAATTAGGCAAAGGAAAGAACAATAGGATTAACGCGCCCTTGTTTTCAACTGAAGTTGTTTTCGCGGTTTTTACGTGCACTTGCCTTTGAGAGAACGGAGAGAACAGATCGAAGCTGAGATTTTTTGTGAAATTTTATAACTAAATTTATCAGAAATTTAGGTAAGTGTTATTTTATTAATTATTTTGAACTGTACCCACATATACTGTTAGTATATTTATTCATTATTTAAGGCGAAGCTTATAACAAAACTGTTGGGTCAGCATAAACTAAGCTGGACTTGGCCGGCGGCAAAACAAAAAACGCAGTAAGTTTTTATATATTTTATAATAATTTTTCTATTTTAGATATACTTGGTCAGGAAGAGCCAGTACATAAAGCACGAAGTCAAAAAAAAGGGCACCGAAACCGAAACATCCTCAACACCTCCGAGACAACTGAAAACGTACATATGTAGATTGAATTAAGTTAAATTAATTAGTTATATGTAATGAAATAAATGAAATAATGTAATAAAATAAAAAATGAAATTTATATGAAAATTTACTGAATGAATTTTACTGATGAAAAAAAAGCGATGAAAATGCGATGAAAATGCGATGAAAAAGCGATGAAAATGAGATGAAAAAGCGATGAATTACTCATTAAAGAGTGATGAATTACTGATGAAAATGTGTTGAATTCATCACTCTTTAATCAGTAATTCCTTACTCGTTAATCACTATTTCATCGTATTTTAATCACTCGTTCATCGCATGTTCATCAGCAAACGCTGTTCAAAGAGTGATGAATTATTGATTAAAGAGTGATGAAAAACTGAAAAAAGAGTGATGAATTACTGATTAAAGAGTAATGAAAAACTGAAAAAAGAGTGATGAATTACTGATTAAAGAGTGATGAATTTTCACTGATTAACTCCTAGCACATGCCAATGTTAAATTCATCACTAATTTGTATGAAGTTTCATCGCCGATTAATCAGCAGTGATGAATTTTTGGTGATGAAAAAGCGATTAAAAGGTAATGAACGGTACTGCAGGGGTGTTCGTGCATTCTCATGCAGGGGTGCATGTGTGCGATCATTTCATTTCGATGCAGCAAGAATATTTTGTCTTTTGCTACTTTTCAGACTTGGTAACCTAACAATATAGGCGTATTCACTATTTGGTTAATGATAAAAATAAGAATATTATATGTTATCTTATGTTATTTTTTAATATTTCAGCATAAATTTCATTTTGGTTTACAAATTCATATCAGTGGTAGCAGTAAAATGTTTTTCAGATATGCATGTATTCCAATTAATAGAAATAATAACAACAACCAAAGCTGATTTGGTTTGAAGTTTTATGCCCTGTTCGTATCTCAGTAGATTGATTTCTATTAATTGGAATACATACATATGTACATATATTAAAAACATTTTACTGCTACGGTGTATGGATTCTGTGTGTATATGTGTATGCATTCCTGTTGTTCATAATAGGTTTGCCATTAGTATGACTCCTGAAGTTCATTTTCCTTATTTTGTTTTCTAAAAATAGCATGCTACAAAAATGTCTGAGCTTGTGGCGATATTACTCAACTTGTGGAAGTGATTGAGCATTCACTGGTAAAACCCATTTTTCGTTTTTTTATTTGAAAAAATAAATTAAATATATGTTTGGTAGTTATAACAACAGAAGGGGAAGTCTATACAGGACTTTAAACATAATTATTTTAACACATTTCACAAGCTACAGAAGTATAGACAGTTCCCATACCCATTTACTATATATTCCCTTGCATTTCGTTGTTAAGTTGTTAATCTACATATATGGGTAAAAATTTTTCAAAAGTCTTATTCTATATGTCGAAACCGGCATACAATTTTAAAAGAAACGATAGGAAAACTATTAGTAAATTCGGCTTAGCTGTTGTAACCCGTTTTTAATTTAATTATAAAGTTAATTTTTTTTCAATTTAAAAATAAAATTACCTTTTTCTCCTTAATCTATTTTGATATTTATACAATTTTCTAGGAATGAAATGGTTGATTAGGATTAGCACATTTTTCTTATGACTGGAAGGGTATATAAACTTCGGCTTGCCGTAGTTTCACTAATTTCTAGTCTTTGATTAAAAGCCTATTTTTTATGTACATATAATAAAGGTTGCCAATATTTTGATACTAATCTCTGGCGAATAAGCCAGAAGAGAGGCATTCATAATATGGATTCTATATTATTCCTCTATAAATAAACAGCGTATATCCATGCCAACAGCAAATATATTTTAAGTTAAAAACTTATCTATTTTGCTAAAAAATTACCTTAATATAAAAATAATATTTATTTAAAAATAATTGTGTACTATATTAGAGTAAAAGGAAAAATAAAGCCATATACCATTGGAAATGTAGGTATTTGTTATTTTGCACAGTGTACATTCTTTGTTTTAATGTTTATGTTGTTTTCTTCAATGAGAGAACTTCATGCTTTACCTTCAAAGGTAAGATTAAAAGTATTTTTTGGTTTGGACAATTAGTGCCATGCATATTCTCTTTAACGATAAAACGCAATGCAAATATTGTAAATCAGGAACAAAACTGTAATTAAATTTAAAGGCATGCCAAATTTAATTTTAATACTTAATTAACATATTTTCTCATTCCTTATAATTTAAATATGATTAATAATTGCGATTCAATAATTCTTTTTATATAATTGGCTAATAAACTGAAAAAAAACATTTCCAAACATCTTATATTGATTAAAGTTGAGTAGCACCTTAAAACCATCATAGGTCCAACTTCCTAATTTTAAGATGCAGGTCTGTACGTCATACGGAAAATATTCAACATCGATTGAACAAGAGGATTTATAGACGGCAGGTGGTTGCCAAATCACCAATCCATTATTATAGACTATTGCTTTTGTCATAAGTGTCACTTCATAATGACCATCAGCACTGAAAAATATATATTTTAGCACAACTCCTGTTACCATATAAGACAAGAAAATAAATTTTATTGCAGTCTCTTCAGCATATCACTGCATCAAAATTTATTGCCCATATTCATATGTAAGTTACTATCTTTCTTTAATGAACTCATTTTTAATACTTATTTTTATACTTATTTTTCATACTTATATTTCATATCTTAAAAGTATTTATTTATTTTAAAAAAATGTAAAATCAATTATAGTTATATATAGATAAGTGTGCGTACTTACACTGCACTTCATTTGAAAAGGTATAGTATCTCTCACATACTAAAGGCACATTACCTCTCAGCTGGATATAAAAACTCTGTGAAACAAATTTTCCGATATAGGGAATTAAAGTCATACTTATAAAAAATATACTATGTTTTATTATAAAGATGGCGTATTTTGTTCAAGAACATTTATACTATAGTGGCCAAAAATTATATTATTATATGAATTATTATATTATGAATCCATGGTAACATAAAGAATTTTACTTAAGTACCCCTCTAGGTAGCATTAAAATTTTGATCAGAAGTAACAAACACAGAAGAATACACATATGTAAGTACATACATAAAAAATATATCAAATGTGTACATGGTATTCAATGTTAAAGTGTCGAAACGTGAATACGACCACTTGGTTCCTCGCCGATATGGCTCAAAAATCTAAATAGAATTTATATTAATATTATTTTAAAGCAGACGATTGATGTTGATATCTGTAGGGGACAATACACAGATATCACGCCATAACGCCGTTATTTTTCGTCTCTGCGCTTCCTACTCAGATTCCTGGAAGCGAAGTCAGCCACTTGATTTTCTCTCGCGAAGGCCATTAGACACCAATAGATAAATACAAGTTTTAATTGTAACCAAGTCCGCAAGTAAACTAATTGACAAACGGTACCAGAGTGCGACGAGATCCAGCGACAACCTGAAAGTTGTTAACCAATGTGAACAGTGCGAAATAGTCTGAGGTGAATTTTTTTTAATATTTCTCGAGAACTGATCGGTTAATATCCGAAATGTTTTTTTAGAATTCACCCCCGTTATCGATCTTTCACCCGACGCAACGCCATCGGAGTGTTCACAGCCTCGCTGCCAGCCTTTGGTTGGTACGCCCGCATACGTGGCGCAATATTTCTGCCCACGCTGTATGCTGGCCCTAGTACCGAGAAACGATCGCATTTCGGAAGTGGCTTTAAGAACCCTGCTCGGCTGCCCACAATTTCAGCCGAGCTTACCAACAAGAAAAGACTTTTCCTCGACTTGACCATGGAGTTCTGATCAGCCATTCATCCCCTGCTTATGCAACATATGCAACGCCTACACCTCAGCAACTGTACGAGTAGTGTAATATACCCCGCTACCTCAACTTAGCTAAGGCATGCGGCCTAAATAACTGGAGACACAGGCCGCACGGCGTTGCCAAATGCGATTCGGCTGCTGCATGCTCTGCGGAGAAGGCCGTGGAAAGCATTAGCCGCGGCGGTTATCCATTTGTAGTTTTTAGTTTTCTTTTTCACCGTATTTGAAAAGTTTTCTATTAATAGTTTTAAATACGCTCAAATAGGTGGGTAAGCAGAAAGTACGACGAAGTTAAGGTTGTAAACATCACACATATACATATACGACATATTCCAATCTTCCCTCAAGGAATCAATGACAGCTTTATTGGGCCCAACGAACGCTTCGATGGATTTTCCCTAAAAAGTACCGCTTGTGACTAAACCCTTAATTTGTGCCTTCATTATTGTCGATGCGATAATTCTTATAGTGTTGAATATAGATTTAATTAGTTATCTTTGATTACGTACGGCTTAAGTTTGAATGATTTGAATATATATATGAATCTTGAAGTATAGCCATTAAGTAAACAACCATAGGTTATCCAAAAACAGCCTCTGAAGGGTACTGCGTACTGCGCGTAAACTCGAGAAATAAATGAATACTTTGAAGTCTCTGTATATCGCAATGATCGTGTAATATCTGTTCTGAATGGATACACAATAATCTGATGTCAGATAAGGGGTAATCTATAAAATGTACAGGTTACCAGATAAAGGTGGGTAAAGAATAGGGGGCAAGCAACATCCAAGTCTCCCTAATCCTTGATCATTTGGAAGATCTGTTCCTCTTAGCGTAACTTAGCAGTGGGTATAGCCGATTACAGCAACTCTAGGTACATCTTATTAGTTTCCGACGGTGCACTTATTTCCTTGTTGTATATTAGGTATAGCTGAAGTTGAAAGAACCCACGCCAGTCCGACGAGCATAGCGCAGAACATCTGTAGAAGTGCACGTCCTGTACGACCAGCATACCGGGGAGCGACTTGAGAACCATTAGGATTCGAGTTGAACGCTACATATCACACAGAAGCTTTGACGTATCAAACATTTAGACATTAATAGATAATAAAACAAATTAGGTTAATATTAGTAAGCCATACGAAGAGACGCTTAGAACGATCGAAAATCCTAAAAAGTCGTTTCTTTTTGTCTAAAAAAATGTTCCACCATAACACTGAATAATTATTTTTTTATACATTAAATTATAAATATGAATTATACAAAACTATGAGTCGATACTATATTCGGGCTCAGCGCCAACAACATTTTCATCAGCTGTGCAGCGGTTATTACTGCAACAATAAGCCTTACTTGTCCTTCGACTCCTTCCAACCGCAGTTGGTAGACTCTAACAAAGATCATTATTCAATAACCAATATCAGAGCACATTTGTGCTCTCCTTCGCTCTCAGGTATAACAAATTTACAAAAGGCCAGGTAAGGGTAATAAAGACTATTGAGTTTAATCTAAAGCCTGACAATGAAACAAAAACATGTTTCATTATATTAAGCAACAAGAAGCCGTAAACTCTTTTCAATTTTGAACTTGATCTAAATAATTATAAAACGCTTTGGCTGCCATCGTTTTAGCCATGAACGCCAAACGGTAGATAACACCAGATTGCCTGACTGCTTTTTTAAACAAAATTTTTAAACTAGGCCATCAACATTGCACGTATGTTTATAATCCACCGAATAATCATATTACAGAAACAACTTTACCATTCCTGATATTTTCGAGAAGATGGCCCTGTGACGGATAAAACCGTTACCGATTTCGCCTTGACTTCTGCTGCAGCTCCTGACGCTTCGGACGACTCATTGAACAACGCATCTTGATACGTATTACATATTACATATTTGTGCCCTAGTCCTAAAGGACTTGGCCGGCATAAGCTCGTCGTAGTTGGTCGGGGTTCTTAGTAAGCTTCTTCCGTTTCCAACATAATCGGAATAAATATTAAGTGAGCCTGACATATCGGAATTAAATGTAACGTTCGATTTACGACCATCACCATCACACTTTCCGTGTGCCGAATAAATCGTCGCTGGCTACGCAATACGTAACCTATTGCCAAGGTTGTCCGTCAAAAGTTATACTCCACTGTTGCATCAGCACAGCCTTGCATTGGGTTTTTACCAAAATTGGTCAAGTCTACTTTAACGTTATAAGTATATTAATAAATATACATGCATGTACATCATTTAGTGGAAAAATGATACTTGCAGTTCAAAAATAAAAACCAAAATAAACTTGGTAGAAATGATGAAACACAAAAATTAGTTAGGTGTATATCAAAGCTGATATTCTAAAGCCCATTGATCTAAAAAAAGGTATACGCACATATCGTGCGTTTATTCCCTAAGCACATACACCTTTTGTATAAGTCCAGCGATAAGAGCTCTCCTTGCTGTAGTTTGGCTTCTATAGGAAAGACACGTATAAACATATATGTGCATTTGATTGCGGCTTGATATAATCTTATGACTTTTGGTATAATGGTATGCCCTTTTCCATCTGAGAGGTTTGGGCTCTTGCACTGATGACTTTTACATTTTCAGGCAAAATAAAAATACTAATGTGTGTGGTTTTAGTTTATATGGTTAGTCACTTCAATATTGTTAATCGCAGTAATAATTTACGCCTTGGATTCCTTCAAACCCATATTCTGTTAGATCGAGTACATTTGCTTTTATATTATATTTAAAAGGTAATTTTACGTTCCTTGATAAGTTCAGTACTTCGAATAATAGGTAACACCCCGCTAAGGTCTTTGGCATGAAATACCCCCACATTCTTTCCTAAGGCGTTACCTAACCTGTAAAGCGCGTTGTGGTTGCGTTTGAATTCGATTCAATTTCTTGTAGTTCTTTCGACAGTCGACTTGTCTTTCGGCTAACTTTACGAGCTTACAGCGGGTGTTGTAAGCTTTTTGTGCTCGTGCGAGTGCTTAATTCTAATAACTCCTGGACTGCCGATTGCATTGTTTAGGTGTCTAGGCTTTTATCGGTATTTTCATTAATTGCCTGAACTTATTTAATACTAGCTGACCCGACGAACTTTGTTCCGTCTTATCTTAATGTCAATATATAAGCAGTTTTTTTTATTGGAAAAAATACAACAAAAATTAAATACGTATATTAATCATTAATAATTATTTCTGTATTTTAGTACATAGGTTGCTCTTCATTTAAGTATCTTGTGATACACGACTTTTTTTTGTTTTATTATCAGGCGCAAAAACAAACAACGCAGATGGTCTTCCGACCCGTGAACATGCCACGTATAATTGACCATGGGAAAAACATGAATGTTCTAGATTTAAACCACAAACTTTTAAGGATTGGCCTTGTGATTTGTTGATGGTCATGGCAAATGCAAGAATACGGAAATTTAAGTCTTTTAAATTCAAACGGCATTTCGGTTGGGATCATCAGTATCCTCGGAATGAGAACTTCCTCACCTTTGAATTTTGCTATCATTATCGTAGCGTAAATTACATTGTTCATCAATTTTCTAACCACCAAACGCGTACCGTTGCACAGTTTTGGTTGGTTTATGTTTCGAAGCATGATTACTACGGAGCCAACCTTTAGGCACGTCCAAAGAGTTTAAAAATTCAATTGGATAGTTGGTGGCTTCATCTTAGCGTAAATTACATTG